CCTTTTCCGACCTTTTGCTGGAGAGCGGCAGGTTGCATTAGCTGGTTTTCAGCGACATTCTGCAGGGATGGATGGATATTTGCTTCCACACAGTAGTCTGCAACATTGTTCTACATAGATAATAAAGCAAAATTATTAGGGGGATTTTTTTCTGTGACCACCAATTAGTAACGAAAGTCCAAAGCTGTAGGCTAGAGTGCTAAGCATGAGCATATTCTTACTGGCACTACCCATGACTGCGGCCAGGGAGCTCCCCAAGGCAGAGCAGGTCTCTAAGGATTATATGTTGGGCTGCCAGCCCCCTTCCTCTCCGCACACCCAAGCCCACAGAAAGAGGAGATCAAGGGACGAAGAGAAACTTGGCCTCTCCCACAGAATCTCTTCTGTGCTCTCTTCTTCCTATGAAGGAGAGCTTTCTATTCTTCTATTCGCTGAAAAATCCCAATACGGGAAACATTGATAGAGATGGAGATATTCCAGGCTTCTATTCTGCCATTCGATGCCCAACTGTGCCAGAGGAACATAGGAGAAAGATGGCAGCCTAGGGAGGGCAGACCTGAGAGAAGGGGCAGAAAGGGAACAGCCTGCATTCTATCATTACATACAACTGGGAGACATAGGTTCCAGGGGGTTGATTGGAAGCACTGGTTGCTCAGTGGTGGAAGAACATAGTTACTAACTGAAAGAGACTGGCCGTTTAACCCCCCCAGTGACTCCGTGGTAACAAAGACCAGGCCATCCCCTCCCATAGGGATTAAAGCCTAGGAAACACTTCAAGGAAGTTCTACTGTCTTATAGGTTCTCTATCAATGGATGGCAATGGATTTGGGTTTGTTTGGGTGGGTTGATTAGGTAATGTGGAAGGTGGCTGGGGGCTTGAGTTCCCCATCTCAAAAGGCTGTGCAGTGCATGCTGGGAGATGAGCGCTAAAGTGCCAGTAGGGTTGCCATATTTCCTAAATAAAGATATTGGGCCCCTATGGGTTGCATGTCAGACTAACCAAAAAGGTAGCAGTTCAAAGCCACCAGCTGCTGTGAGAGAAAGATGAAGCGATCGACTCCCATAAAAAATTACAATCTCAGGAACCTACCAGGGCAGTCCCACTACTCTACCACGTAGGGTGGCTGTGAGTTGGAATTGACTCGGTGGCAGGAAGTTTGGTGTCTATGTTTTACCTAGCAACCCTAACTAAATGAATGTGAAAGAAGCTAAAGCTAAAGTCAAAACTACCTCCCTTCAAAGAAATGTCTTGTGCAGAAGACTATCAAGGATCATAAGGGAGGGAGTGTGAGGGAG